ACATCGAGACCAAATGCCGTCGGCTGCAATGATCAAGTCGGCGTGGGTTGTGATGCCTGACTTAGTGGTCACTTTGGGGACATCGAAGTCGATGGCTTCCACCTTTTGGCCAAGATGGAACTTGACACCAAGCTCTCGAGCTCGATCGTACATGCAAAGCTGGAGATCGACGCGGTGGATATCGATGAACGGGGCGCCGTACTTTTCACGCATGCGTTTGTTGAACTGCTCTTCCATGGCCAAGATGCTGCCGGTATAACTGTGAACGGCAAGGTAGGTCGGCTCTGCAGCTGTCTCCCAAAGTCGCTCAGGGAGGCCCCATTGCTGCAGGAGGCGAGATGAGTTTGGCGTTACTTGCAATCCAGCACCAACTTCTGAGAGTTCCTCGGTAGATTCAAAGACGGTAACGTTGTGACCGGAAAGAGAGCATGAGATTGCTGTAGCAAGTCCGCTGAGGCCAGCTCCGATGATGATAATGTCCAGCGGTACTGGGGACTTTGAGTGGACGTACATGGTGTCTAATTTGTTTACAATGATTGAGTATGTATCGAATCATGGGGTCTCCTTTGGGTAGGTTATAAAGATGCCTCTTGTAGGTAGTATCGTAGCGAGATCTCGGTGTCTGCATGTCACGGTTTCGGGAAATCCGGAGCTCATCTCGCTACAGCTCGTGGCGACGATCTTCCTCGGCACTACGATTCATCGCCCTGCATACCCCTTTAACCATTAAACAAAGTGATGCCTGATGAGTGATGTTGGCGATCCCTCCGGAAAAGCCGACGTCGAGTGGGCTTCCGTCCGGAACTTCCACGCGGCCAAAAGTCTCCGGATCCGAATGCCACATCTCCGTGGGTATACATCTCCAAATGGGTTGCCAACTCTATAATTGGATGGAAGGCCCTCATTTATGAGCTGATATTCATGCATGTGGAGTCTATCGTGGCAAGGCTGAAGGCGGCGACTCTGTTCTGAGGCAGACGACGCCTCCATTGTGGCGTCCATTCGAGTATTCACAGCCGCACACTAAGTTCCAGTAATGCAACCCTCCACTTCGATTCTCCCCCAGATTTTGATGGGCTTGGGTGGCAAAAAGTCCATAGCAACCGATTTGACAGTTGACAGGTGCAGATATCAAGCAAGATCAATCACTAGGTACCCAGGTATGAGAGTGCTACGGGAGCCAGAATGGGGGGAAAGATTGCTCTTCATGTTAATTGCATTACACCGTTATGTTCATTCATATACATGATCGCTTCGCTAATTTGCTCTTCACAGAAGCTCAATAAGGCCGTCGGCAATGTTGTCGACGTTGGTTCCCCAGTTCGCGGCAGTAGTCTAGGAAGGACTTAATTAGCACGTAGTTCTGAGATCGGACGCAACATATCAACGCCTTGTGTTTATAATGCCGAACATACCTGGAGGTAAAGCACTCCGTCTTCAACGACGGGCTCGTTATACGAACGGGAGAGCTTATCCACAATGCGGAACTTGACGGCGTTGTTCTCAAGAGCCTCGGTGAGACCCTCCTGGAGCATGTCATCGGTGTCGAACTTCTGGCACTTGAGGTACCAGTTGAGGCCCTCGAGGTACTTCAGAGTGAAGCTGCCGAGGTTGGTGGGGTAGTCGTCACGCGTCTCAGACGAAGCCTTGAGCTTGGCCCAAGTCTCGTCAAAGTTGGGGTCGAAGGGGACCTCCTTGCCCAGATACTTATTCAGCTCAGCCTGGGCGGCAGCAATCTTGGGGTCGTAGTCCTCCTTGATGCCGACGCGGGCAGTGTGGTTGAGGGGCTTGTCGTTGGGGGCGTTGTCGAGAGCCTTGGCCAGGTTGGACTTTTCCATAGCGTGGTCGACGTTGGTTCCGAGATAGCCCTCGGCGAAGAGGATGGCAAGCTCACCCTCGGGGGTGACCTTGACACCGCAATAGCTAAAGAGTTTGTCCTCGTCAAAGTCCATGGTGATGACGTGGGCGTGGGCAATGCTGTTGATGTCATCCTTGAGGAGATCACCTGCCTTCTCGATGTAGTACTTCAGCTGATACTCCGCACCCTCGATATAGCTGTGAGATGATGGAGGTTAGTTTGGGCCCAGATATTCAAAGCGACTCTGAACCAACTTACGACTTGATGCAGGCTCCGAGAGAACTGTGGCCATATGAGCCCTCCTCAGCGTAGGGATAGATGGCAGCGGGGGTGATGTTAATCTTCCACTCCACACCGAGGAGATCAGAGAATCGCTTCTCATAGGACTCCCTGTTGTTCTCCCACTCATCGCGGACTATCAGGACATTGTCAATTAAAGGCCGGTTCGGGTGAGATGCAAGCTACTTACCGTTCTTGCGAACAGCGAGGGGAAGCTTCTCGGCGGGGGGAAGACGAGGCATGATGTCTGTTCGTATGGAGGTAGGTAGAAGTTTGAAATAGATGAAGAGAGACGAGGCTTTAGTCTGGTGTCTAGAGGATGGTTGGATTGTGTCGTTAAGCTTCTTGCTGATGAGAGGCCAAGAGCCCTTTTATCCTCTCTCTCAAACCCCTGAGTCGTGTCATGAGTATTCGGCCACCGCTCTCAGGATAGCGTCGCCTGGTCACTGCCTAGCCAAGGCCAAACAAACAATGGACGTTAGCGTTGAATCCCATCCCTGGCTTCCTGATGCTGAAATTCCCGTCCCCTCCTAGAAACCCCCGCTGCTGCACTGGCGATGGTGGAGAAGAAGCCTCATGACACCTCGTCTTTGCGTAGTATGTCGAAGCACGTTGCTTGCATCTGAGGTAGGCGGGAGCATGGACCATGATCTTGCGTACCTCGAAAGAGCTCGGTTAAGCGAGCAAACATAGTTCGGCGAGTGAGTCGCGGCTTTAGATCCATCCGTCACAGGGCGGCTGGCAGCTCGAGGCGCTAAGATGCGACCCGCTGATCAAGGGTGCTGTTAACTCTCGCCCTAAGGTTACTTGAAAGCTGCCTTGTTGAGGAGCTTGAGCCGGGGTAGGAAGGTTGGGAATGAACGGTTGTCAAAGTGACGGGCAGTTTGCCTCGAGGATCAATCTCCCGACATGCATGATAGAGTGAGCCTTAATCGGCAGTCCGGCAGCGCTGAGAGGGGTTCTGAGATTAGTCGAGTGTCTGCCAATCTGCCTTGTGCCTGGCGTCTGCCGCTTGACGCTCAGCTGAAAGGATAGCGCCCCTTGGCGTACTTTGCGGTTGTTTCAACGGCGTCAAGCGTGCACGAGGTTTCGCCTCATTGGTACGGACATTGAGGACTCGACCCGTGGAATGCATCTCTTGTTGGGGAAGACGAGTCTGGAAGTCTCCGATGGCTTCTAGGCCAGACCCCTGAGCTACCCCAAGCTGCGTCCCTTGTCAGAGTGGGTGTTGTCGACGCAATATCTCGAGGAACATGGCCATCATCGCATTCACATTCCGCGGCCACATCAACCGCATCAACATCCTCAATTGCATTGCAATCACAACTATCTCCCCGCTCTCCGTGTCATTATTCAGCCCGTCGGCTTCCATTCGCGTGATTATCGGTCACCAAGAAAAGTCTGCACACAAACATGTCTCTGTAAGACCCCGCATCCATCCGCTCAAACGCCAATCATCTCTAACACGATACCGCCCAAGCCCGCTCAAGGTCAAGATTGCTCTGCGAGACCATTGGGAAAAGGCAGACTCTCCCCTGCAAAAGTCCATCAAGGAAGTCAAAGATCTCTTGGGCCTCGATGTCTACTGCGAACCGCAATGGCCCATCATCATTTCCGATTTGGAGAAGGTGTACGATGACAAGGGACAGCTCACGCAGGCAGTCATCGGGCTTCTTCACACGTGGTTTGTGACCATCGCCGAGCTCATGGATGATGACAGCCACGAGGCATGGTCTGAGAAGGTGGTTGAGAAGATCAGGGAGTTCACATCCAGGCTGAAGCTCAATGTGGAGGTGAGTTCGCGCAAGGAGGGACCCTGGACGCATCAATCGGAGCCGTTGCCTAGAGCGGATGTCGCGGGCGATCCCGAGGCGAGGAGGGATTGTGGAGAAGGCCAACGCCCACTCAGTTCACAGAACTAACATGGAGTCTCCTAGGTCGGTGAGGGCGAAAGAGCCGTGACGGAATGGTCCGACAGCCGTCAAGGCTTTGTGGTGTCTGTCCCCAAGGTCCACATGTACCAACCGGCCCAGTTTGCCCAAGTGTTCATGGAGCAGCTTCTCGAATGCTTCGACGAGAAGAAACAACAGCAATCGGAGTCCCTACCCATTCATTCGACGACCGGAGATGAATGGGCTGATGTTGGTATTGATGAGACCCAAGAGAGGTCTACAAAGACGGCTGAATCGACAGCGTTGGCACCAGCCGTCGAGTTTCTTCCAGACCCCAACAACCTTCCGAAGCCCGGGACACTGCTGCTCAAGCCCCCGTACCATCTTCTCATCAACTCATATGGCGGCAATAAGCTTGAGATCCAATGCTCCCACAGCGCGACCCTTGATGTCCTAAGCCAGTACCTGAAGAGATGGTGCAAGATCAACCCGAACCTGACGACCAAGGTGAGTTTGCTCGTTGGTTGCCCGGTTTTGATAGGGACGTATTGCTAACGATGGCCAGCCACCCGCCGTAGACATTGAACTCAATCAGGGCACTTGTGGTTTCGGGCTCACGTATGATACGCTGACACTCTCCTGTGAGAACCGATACGGTAGTCGGTTCACGGTTTCTCCAACATTGATACTGCACTTGGTTGAAGGGGTGCTGGGCTATGAGAGGGTGTTTAGCGACGCTTCGTCCTGGCATTACCGCCGCGATGCCCCATTCAAGCAGTGATATCTTGTTCAAGAAAGCATCATGTATCAGGATGAAGAGACATTTCTTGCCCACTATGTGACAGAATGGAAATATGTGACGAGGGGAAAGGTGGGGGGGACAAAAATTATTACCCCAACAGCACGAGCTGAGTGCGTGGATATGAGAGCGGCTAAGAACAATGAATGAAAGCATTGAAGGGCAAAAAGAAAGGACCGAGCGTGGATCGAACACGCGGCCTAGAGATCTGCAATCTCTCGCTGTTTGTTGTGTGAGCATGTGTGCATGAGAATGTGAGACATGAGGGAGTCACTAACCTCTACCGCTGAGCTATCGATCCCAGAGCTTCTTGCGGAGCTGATTGATGATAGAGACACTGCCGAGCATGTTTATAAAAGGTTCTTCCTCCCTTGCATAAGCTTCACTCGTCGCATCATGCATGGCTGAGTGGACACGTGGTTGGCTCTGTCTGAGTCACTTAGACCAGCCCTACCCTAGGGCTAAGATGTGACTTGGCGGGGAAAGCCTGTTATGGGCATTGCGGGAACGAGGGAAACCGTAGGAAAAGCCGTTTTAGTATCTGGGACTAAATTCGTTGTGAGAGTGTGTCATCTGAGAGTGGTAGAGTTCAGGCTCGTTCTGTCAAGGGCGTGGAATAGTGAGAAGCAAGCGCAACGTACGCCAAGCTCGCAGATCTTTCAAGTCAAATCAAACACTTCTGCTTGCTTCAATGAATCTAACACGTCAGGCTCAATTAATTAGCAAATTACCCAGGCTCCCATTCATTCATGCCTAGACAACACGGCTTGAACAATGTCCTCCCTCCTCACCCCGCCGCGATCACACATCCCCCTGAAAATGCCATTCAGGTCAAACACCTCCAAAGGCGCACCCAACTCGGCAATGCGCCCTTGATCCATGACACAAATGCGGTCGTATCCGATAATGGTTCTAAGACGATGCGCAATACAAAGAAGCGTCTTGCCCTTGAATCCTTCCATCATGGTCTGCTGGATCTTGAGGTCCGTTGCAAAATCCACCGAACTCGTTGCTTCATCGCAGATGATGATGCGCGAACCTCGAACAAGCGCGCGGGCTAGAGCCATTAATTGACGTTGACCGAGGGAGAAGTTGAGTCCCTCTTCTTGAACCACGCTCTCGAGACCGATTCGGCCACTGCTGCGTTTGTTCCCCGTCGAGGCTTCTTCGTCAGCGAGGCCAGCTTGGCGAAGCGCCGACCACATTTCAAGATCCGTGTGTTCATTGAACGGATCTAGGTTGGCTCTTACTGTGCCTTTGAACAGCGTAGGGTCTTGTGGAATGATGGCCATTCGGGATCGGACATCGTGTAAGCCGATACGGCTGATGTCCACGCCATCAATCGTGATGGAACCACCAGAAACCTCGATGATTCGGAAGAGCGTAGCGATAATGCTGGATTTGCCTGCACCTGTGCGCCCGACAATACCAATTCTCTCCCCAGGCGCCACATGCATCGTGAGACCCTTGAGGACCAGAGGCAGACCTGCGCGATAGCGCATTTGGACGTCATCAAAGACAATCTCGCCATGCTCAGGCCATTCGGACCTTACTGCAGCAGTCTCGATTTGCAGGGGCGCTTCTTCTTCGAGACCAGTGCCGTAATGATGAATCCTCTCTGTGCTGTTCATGTTGTTTTCCACCTCGGCAAGCTGTCGAACGGCGAACTGGAACATGCCCACAATGCCCAAGATGTACGAGAGCACCACGCCTCCGATGCTGGGATTGACGTTGAACCGGGACGTCACAACTAGCATGCTGATGATGAAGATCATCATGTTTCCAATGGCGTCGAGTCTGATGCTCAGCCATCGCTGGTTCGCAAAGGTCAGGAAGTAGGCGCTGTCCATGTCATCAATCGTGTTCCGGATCATCTTGGAGAAATGGCCTTGTAGCCCGTAAGCGCGGATCGTCGCCGTTCCATATACGGCTTCGCTGAACTTTGCAAAGACGGTTGAGCGCAAAACTGACTCGTGTCGCTTGATCTCGATGGCGGATCTCCTGTAATAGCTGGCCGCGAAAAGAAACACGACAACCAGCGGTGCCAGGGCGATGGCGAAGTAATAGTAGTAGGAGATGATGAGGACGAAAACAGACACAATCATGCCCAAGGTCATGTAATACATCCGAATCGCGTCTGTGAGGTCATTGTCCATGACATCAATGTCCTTGGACAGTCTGTTGGTGATGCGACCGAGAGGCGTGGTGTCAAAGAAGGACATTGGTGCTCGCAGCACTTTGACCATGGCTCGATACAGCATAACTTTGCTAGCCTGCGTTCCAAGAATGGAGATAGAGACTGAAAATAGGAATAGAAAGATGACTTGCAAGACGCCCAACCCAGCATACACGCCAATCTAGAGTCCAACGTTAGCACATCCTCCAGCTGAAAGCAGACATGACACTCACATAGAAGTCGGCGTCATAGTCCCAGTTCTGCGCCGTCCACCAGGATAGCCATAAACTGGTGAGGATATTTGTCGCCTGGGCCAAAACCAGCAGGACAAAGACCAGAGGGGCGATCATGATAGAGCCTGCTGCCAGGAGGTATGCCGAGTACACCCTCCACGACACGCTCCTCACGGCGCGGTCTTCAGCCTGCATCAGATCGGCCCCTTGCTTATCCTCTCCTCCTTCTTTATTCTCCTCTTTGACATCCGTTTGTGCCCTGGCGTCCTCTGTTCCCTGGTTCTTGTCCTCCTCTTCATCAACAGACGTGGACGTCATGAGCTTCGCGAACTCGTCGTTCTGGGCCATCAAACCGTCAAAAGTCCCGAATGCTTCCACCCTCCCATCGCGCATCCACACCACCTGGTCACAGCGATGCAAGACGTGCAGCTGGTGAGTGGCGAGAATGCGACATTTCCCCGCGAGCAGATCACACACAGCTCGCTCCATAATGTGACGGCCAACATGAGCGTCCACAGCAGACAGCGGATCGTCCATGAGGATGAAGTCGGCTTCACGGCAGTAAATGGCGCGAGCCACATTGATGCGCTGCTTTTGCCCTCCCGACACGGTGATGCCGCGCTCCCCAATCTCCGTCATGTCGCCGTCGGGGAGGGCTGCCAGGTCCGGCCTCAATGCGCAGGCATCTAATACATGCCCGTACCAGTCGGCGTCAAAGGGCTTTCCGAAGACGATGTTTTCGCGGACTGTCGCATTTTGGATCCATGCATACTGCGGACAGAAAGCCCTCGACTTGCAAGCCAGGGTCACTTGGCCATGTGTCTTGCGCATGTTGCCTGCCAACGCCTCTAACAGTGACGTCTTTCCGGAGCCAACGGTGCCAATGACGGCGACGAGTTCGCCACGACCCAACTTGAGATTTATGTTGCGCAGCTGGAAAGGCTCTGCCACCGTAGAGGCGCTGCTACTCCGTCTCGGTGAGGACTCCTCAGCAGTGTTGGCGTTGGCAGACGAATTGGTGCGCTCCCACGTGAAGGAGGCATCTTCGATGTTGACTGCATGCTCATTCTTGTCATCATACTCAATCTCTTCGGAAGCTTCTTCTGCTAACAAGAACTCTTGGATGCGCTTGACGGAAACATAGCCATCGATGATCTGACCAATGACCAAGGGAAGGAAGTTGAGTGGCATCCGTAAACCGTTGAACATGGCCAGCGAGGAAAAGATGGGGGCTGGCGTGAGCACATTCTTCGTCATGGAGAAGGTGATGAACGACAGCATTGCCGCAAAGACGGGCATGGACATTGAGATGGCGTTGATCCCGTCTCGAATGGCGAGGATGACGCGGATTGACTTGATCTCACGCTTCCGTATGTCGTTGATTCGCTGGAGGAAACTCGTCTCCCAGCCGAAATACTTGACGAAGCGCACGGCTTGGAGGATCTCCTGAGTGAGACTCACGCGCTGGTCTGTAATCTTTGTGACCTTTGCTCGCCTCCGAAACAACGCACGAATCGCCTTGCCGAGTAGCGGCGTAGATAGGAACAACAGCCCAACACCAGGCAAAGCGCTGTACGATAGGTTGATGACAAGAAGAGCCAGGGTGATGATGATGGCCAAAGGTGAGGCCCAGGCCATGTGGAACATGCCCGATGCTTGGTCGATTCGCCATGTATCTGTTGACATTAAGTTGACAATTCTGCCGTTGCTCCAACCCGCGTCATCTGAGTCAAGATTTCCCTTTGATGGCTTTGAACCGGGTAATATCTTGGACAGAGTTCGGCTATACCACTTCTTCTCCTCCTCGCTTCCTGGTTCAACCTGGCTTGGCGGTGTATGGGAGGTGATGCCACCAACACCGCCGGCCTTGGCCTGACCCGAGATCTTCAGAGCCTTGTCAAAGATCATGGCCATCAAGACTGCCCGGGCCTCACCGCCAATAGTAGCCCCAAAGTAGAAGAATTGGTTGATGGAGATGCTCACGAGCACCTGCATGCCCGAGATGGCGAAAACTAGCCCTACGCCTTCGCCAATCGGCGGGTCTGGAGTACCGTTTCGCTGAGCATTGTAGGCCTTGCTCGCAAAGGCAATCAGATACTTGAGAACATAGGGAGAAACAGTCATGAGAATGGTAGACAACAACTGGAAGAAGCCGCCGAGGAGAAGGGGTCGCTTAAATGTGCTGTACATCGCTCGAAGAAGGGGCTGCTTGCTGCCATCTTTGATGCGATCCTGAAAGGCGCTGTTGAGCTTCTTTTCGAGAGCGTTGACGCTCCGACTAGGGTTGACAAGCCATATATCGTTTAGTTCCAAGGGTCTTCGATACCCGGCCTTTGTTAAGTTAGTCACTGGGACGACATTGAGAGGGTTGTTTGGGCACAACACACATGCATAAGTGGTGCGATCCAGTGAAAGGCTAGCACACTAAACAAGTTCGCAGATGCTTCCTTTGAGGGCAGGCGTTGCTCGGGTACTGGTGGCTTTTTTCGCCGTCCGACGCCCTTGAGGCGTTCAAGCCATGATACTGTTGACTTTCGAGGCCCATCAGTCTCTTCGATAGCGACCTTTTCCGAAGTTGACTGTTCCACGGTCAAAGTGGCGGGTCCAGTCACGTCTTCGACAGGGGACGTAGTGTTGGTCTTTTCGTTGGCTAACTTAGACATGCTTACACGGCTCGCAGACTGAAGCAAAGGTCATAAGCAAAGATGGCTCGATGATTGCAGTTCCGAAGAGACACATACAACGCAAGCCTCTGTCAGAAGTCAAGGTTTATTCGTGATTCTCGTCAACTCTTCACCCGCCTCAACATGTTCTCGCCTATTCCGGGACCATCATTCGAGAACACGCAACGGAAGCTCCTGCGGGACCGGAAAGTGGGCAGAGCCTCCCTCG